CACCCACTGCCCTTCCCATCACTGCAGAAAGCAAATCACCTTTATGCATTCACAGATAAACCGTGAATTTAACCTTGTCTTAAATAATCACAAATCTCTCTGGGCCAGACTCAGAGAAAACAGCAACTCCATAAAAAAAAGACATGTCAGAAATGCAAATTACCCACATTATACATGTACTTAATGAAATATTAATGCACATAATTAACTCTGTGACAGGACAGTACTGTTAACTGCACTGCTGAGGTTCTGTATCATCTGGGCAACAAAAACATTGCTCCAGATGTGCAGTTCGCACTTGAAGGAGAACTAAAGAGCACAGAGGAAGCAGATCACGTGTTCTACACTCGAATCAGGAGCCTGGAAAAAGAGCTTGTGGCAGAGAACATTCCAGGTACAAGGATGGGGCTGGGGGAGAAGGATCAGGCCTCCCCCTGCTCTGAACACGTGCTGCTTCCCTTTCTCTGTCTGGGGGTCTCTCAGTCACAGCTACTCAATTTATTCTGATTCCTGAAATCCAGAATTGAGGCAAGATTTGCATGTGGCTGTTGTGCAGAACCACCTGCCACTGTCACCTCTGCCTGCTCCCTCTGAGCTGTCCTTGGCACAGCATATCCCACACCCCGACTGCACAGCGAGGGGCTGCTTGGACTTCAGAGCCTTGAAAACTTGATATGTCAGGGGAAAAAAAGTGGAGGAGAACACCCTGGAAGTGTCCAAGGCCAGGCTGGATGAGGCTTGGAGCAACCTGGGCTAGTGGAAGGTGAAATTTAAGGTCCCTTCCAACCCAAACCACGCTGTGATTCCACAGGAGGAAGCACTGCGGGGATGGAGCAGCTCTTCCAAGATCCCATGGAAGGTTTTGTGACAAGGAAGGGAGTGACTTTTTAGCACCAGGTGATGAAGTTCTGTTGCTGGCTCTTGTTTAACCCCCAGGAATTGTTTTGTTTCCCAGACAGCCATGGCCACGTGCCCCCAGAGCTGGAGCCCCTCCACCTGCTCGCCTGGGTCGCCTCGGGGTACCTGGTGTGGCAGAATTCCACGGAAAACACCCAGCTCCAGCTGGCCCAAATCAAACATGTGAAGCAGGTGGTAAGTCTCCATCAGTCAGAGAATTCCAGGGTGGTTTGGGTGGGAATGGACCTTAAAGCCCATCCAGTGCCACCCCCTGCCATGGGCAGGGACACCTTCCACCAGCCCAGGTTGCTCCAAGCCCCATCCAGCCTGGCCTTGGACACTCTCAGGGTGTTCTCCTCCACTTCTTTCCCCTGACACATATTCCAACCTGGCCTTGGCTCTCAATGCTCTGAAAGATAAATAGTGTTTAGGAGCTGAGCAGGGACTAGAGCAGAGCTGGATCCACATTCTTAAAAATCCACATTCAGGAAACCTCAATTATGTCTGAACTTCCTGCTCTGGTTTGGTTTTAAGAATCTAGTCCAGTGTTTGAATTTTGTTCCACTACCCCTTCCCTCTAATCAAACAGCAATTAGGGGAGAAAACTTAAAAGGGATTTTTATTTGAGCTCTTGGACTTCCCTTACCATGATGAGCATCAACTGAGTTTATGGTGAGAAACCTGAACTGAGGAACACAAAAGGGGAAGACGAGGGAGAAAAGGAACAGAATATTCCAGGATAAGATATTTCCTGTTTTATTTCTGGGTGGTTACAAGGGATGGGTTTATCTTGAGCACGCCTGGGTCTGCCCTAAGCTCAGGAATCAAAACCTGGCAAATCTCACTGTAGCTCCTGACATTAACTGAGTCATTAATTGCCACCACCAGGCCTGACAGGCCCCTTGCCTGGAAGAGGCTTAAGTGAGAGAAAGCACTTTGCTTTCACAAAACTTACTGTCACAGCCAAGTCCTTTTGGGTTAAGAATAACCTCTAAAGGGCTGGTCAGCTTTAAATCTGAGGCAACTTTGTATGTGAGCCAGGAAAAAGAAACAGGATTTAGAAAACTCAAGGCCCAAATGTTTTTGCCACGCAGAACAACCAGTGAATTCCCTGGAAGTGCTGGGGATGAAGGAGAGACAAATTGCTTCAGGGAGCAGGATTTGTGAATGTTTTGCTCCCTCTGATGGCATCTTGGAGCAATTCACAGCTGCTGCAGGGCTGTGCACCAGCAAGAGTTTAAAGATTTTAAACCCCTCTCTAACAAATTCGAGGACAAGGCAGACAGAAAACTATTAAATTAACCCAGCTGCCACCTCTCTTGGGGAATTTTGTTCCTTTTCCTTGAAAAATACATGGGAAAAGAGTATATTCCAAAGGCCAGTGTGTATTTTGTCACTCAGAATCCCTGTGAGGCCTCTGGGGTGTGTCCTTATCCTACTGACAATTTGATTTGGGATTATCTGGGTTAAACTGACACCTTGTAGAAGGAGGTGTTCCCATCCCAAAGGAGTTCCTGAAGTTGATATTTATCTGATTTCCTTAAGGGAGGCATTAGCAGAGTTTTAAGCCTCACATTCATCTCTCCAGTGCAAGTTTGGAGTGACAAAAACACAGATCAGGATCTTTTTTGTTTTGTCACAGTGACTGAGCTCCACCTGCTTTATTGGTTATAGTAAGCTGTTTTACCTGAAATACAGCAGGGAATTCTTGGGATAACCAAAGAGAACTGACTCACTGCTCTGTAGGTGGGGAGAAGCCCCAAATTCAGCCCTTTTCACCTTGTCTTTCCAGAGGAGAAGTGATGAATATCTGCAGTTTGACTACCTGGTTCTACTGCACGAAATGGTGTCCCAGGTAAATATTGGATTTCTTAAAAGCCTTTTTTGTTGTTGTTTGAAACCTGGCAGCTCTGCAGCCTCCAGCTCAGGCACACAGATGGTGGGGTGGACACAGAGGGTGAGGGTGAGGTCAGGGCCCCCTTCTCTGTCCATCCCAGCATTCCAGGACACAACAGCAGCAATTTCCAGCTGTTTCTGGGCTTTCTTGGGAATGGCTGAGGTTCAAAACACTGGTGGCTTCACAGCTCTTTCCTCCTGGGAGATCCCAGTGCCAAACTGGCTGGGGATCAAGGGAAGAAGCTGCATCCTGGAGTGCTCAGCAGAATTCCAGGGGGCTGGGAATGCTCCCATGCCAGAGGACAGCGCTGGTGCCCAGCACAGAGACCTCACCCATCCCAGTTATCCCAGCACAAACTGGTTCCCAGCAGAGTATTCACACTTGGAGCCATTCCCCATCATAATTCTGTGATCTGAGCAAGTGTTTTCATAAGGAAAACACAGAAAATGTGAGAGAGAAGTTCCTGATTGTGCAACCTCCTGGAAAACCCACCCAGGGATCTCCCTCCCAGCTCCAGCTCCGCTGCTTCCAACCCCTGCACTCTCAAGTTTTAAATTAACCGAATTCTATGGATTCTCCCAGTTTTTCCTGTGTGTTTGGAGAAGATACACTGTGAGTTAAGAGTAACTCCTAAGGTGATGTTCAGCTTTAAATTTAAGCCAAGGTCAGCTTTAAATTCAAATTTAAACCAAGGTCAGTGTTAAATTCCAGCCGAGTTCACTCGGGGCACCTACAGTGGGTTTGGTTCCTGAGTTTTCCATGAGGAGAAATTCCTGACTAACCAAGAGAACGGAAGCCCAGTTTGTTCCCTGCTGTCACTCCCACAGGAGATCATTCCCTGGGAGATGACAGTGCTGTGGCACCCTCGGGATGGTGTCAGAGTGACACGGGAGAGCCGCCAGCCCGGACACACCTCGGGATGAGGGACCCCCTGATCCCACCTGGAAGCAGCTCCAGAGCTCCAGCAGGCATTTGGAGGGAGGGCAGAGGAGGGGAAGGGGTGGGGAAGCAATCAGGGTACAAAGACATTAAATTAAACATTTCCTGTGCCTTGGGATTTGATCTGATCTTTTCCTCCCTGCTGCTTAATCAAATGCTGCATCCAAAGAAATGACTAAAACAATTCCCAGAGGGAATACTCACGGAACAGGTGCAGAGATGTTCTCCCTGAAGGCAACTTTGGGCTTCCCCGTGGTGCAAGGACAACCATATTCCCTCTCCATTCGCTGCAGGAAAAAACCCCAGAGTTGTTCCATTAGAGCAGTTCTTTGGAAATTATTGTATTAATTTAATCAGGGTTAACCAGGGGTTTTTCACTGATTTTGGGGGGCTTTTTGTTGGTTTTTTTTTTAATGTTATAAATTGTTCACTGTCATTCTGCATCCAACTTTGCTTAAGATCTACACAGGGAAAGGGAGCAGCATTAATTTTTCTATTAAAGTTTAAGTTTTTCAAGACAAAAGCATCTTTTCTTCGTTCTGTCAACATTTCAGACACATCTCTTGTGTTAATTAAAATACAGACATCAACTGGAATGAGATTAATCACTGTAAGTAGGTATTCCCTTCTCCCTGCATCAGCTTCTATATGGAAGGATACATTTAAAACCACAGAAACACAGTATTTTTCTGCAGTAATTAATTATCATTAATTATTAGTTCATTATAAGCAAAGGCTGCTAAAGCAAAGTGTAGTGTTTAATCCATTTTTATGGATTTGAACTGAAGAAGTGAAAATATTCCAGGCAGAAGTTTCCTTTAAATAGTTTAGAATCCTTCAAAATGGAACCACTGGAGAGAAAGAACCTGCAGAGGTTGATTTACAGTTAAACTATTCCCAAAGCAGCTGGAAATAAGAAAGAGGAGGAGGAAAAGGAAGGAGAATTCGTGGCTGGAAAACCAGTGAAAAGCAGAGTCCATGGAATCTGCTTTCCCAATTACCTGGGCATAGATTTCCAGGTGCAGCTCCCCCATCCCAGAAACGATGGTCTCCTTGCTCTCATCATCAAAGTGGACTCTAAAAGTGGGATCTTCCCTCGTGAAGCGGTTCAGGCCTTTGGAAAACTTGTCAAAGTCGTTCTGAAATGCAATTAAACACACAAGATTTGCTCAAATTCCAGAAATTATCCACGAAAAAGGCCTCAACTTTTCCTATCAACAGCTGAGCACTTCTGCTCTCTGAGGTGATTTTCTGAACCACTTCTAACTGTGTTTATTAATGTATTAATTGTGATTTAATTTCAAGTTCAGGTCAAAGAAATGCACCTTATTTATGGCTGAGTGACACCATCCAGCCCAGCCACGTGCTGGGTTATCCAGAGATATAATCTTAGGGATTGTGGATAAAACACTTTCAAACAGTGCTTGTTTTAGCCTGTTCCTTATTTAAGCTGCATAAAATCCTAAAAAGCAGCAAAGGGAGGGGAAGCCAGGGGGAGATGTGGATCCCCAGGCTCCTACCTTGTTGGAAGGCTTCATGGCCACAGAGATGACGGGATCGGGGACGTGGATGGATTCCTGCAGTGGCCACCAAGGAAGAGGTGATGATTACAAACCTTCCCAGCAAAATCCTGGTAAATCCCAGTGCCTGAGGCCCTCAGGGAAAGGGGAACTCACCATGGAGATGGCAGTGCTGGTTTTATCAGTGAAGGTGTCCCCGCTGGCACAGTCAATCCCAAACAGGGCACAGATGTCTCCAGCATAAACTTCACTGACATCCTGGGGAAAGAAAAGTTTCCTGTTTAGATAACACTGAAAGATAAGAGAGGCTGTGGCTGCCCCATCCCTGGGAGTGTCCAAGGCCAGGCTGGACAGGGCCTGGAGCAATCTGGGATCATAGAAGGTGTCCCTGCCCATGGCAGGGGGTGGCACTGGGTGGGCTTTAAGATCCTTCCAACCCAAACCATTCTGGGATTTCTCCTCTCCTACAAACTACACCTGGTTTACAGAAGACACATAAACATATTCTGTGTTTTAAAGCTTGACATTGAGCTCCTCTAAAATTCCAGCTGGGATTAAATGCTCTGTAAATCTTCCACCTCTTTATTCCAAGGACAAAAAGGAGAGCTCAGCTTGGATGCTAACTTGTTCTAGTTTAGGGATGTGAAGCAAACAATGTGCTGTGTTCCAGGCAGTCCTGGCCCACTGCAGGAATGTCAGACAGTGGCTCAGAGTCCATCCCTAGGGATCACTCACCTCCATGTTGTCCGAGTGCATCCGGACGAGCCTCTGCACTCGCACCCTCTTCCCAGTCCTGGTGTTGTAGATGTAATCAGACTTCTTCAGCATCCCCTGGTAAACTCTGATGTAGGTTAACTGCCCAAATTTACCAGCCTGGAAGCAAAATCCATGGAAAAAAAAAAAAATCACATATGATCCTTCTGGGAACCAAGAGCACTGTTACCGAAAGCATCACCTGCACTGACTGAATGTTTCTGGTTTGAATTTCCACAAGAGTCTCAGCTTTCCCTTGGCTCTGGGATGGAATTTGGCATTTCCTGGCAATTTTCTGAACTCATTTTATCCCTCTCAAACCTTCCTAACAGAGACACACATTGACATGCAACATGAAATCTCAAGTGCTGCTCTTTAGGCAGAAACAAATTGTTTCCTTAGAACTGTGCATTTTATCCTCTCCAAACCTCTCCTGTTTTATTGTTTTCAAATCCAGGGTTTTTCTCTGAAAGTATCTGAAATAACCCATAACTCCCCCAAATGTTTAAGTTTTAACTAAGAAAACCATGAAATACCTGAGGGACATGACTCATTCTAAACTTCCAAATTGGCAGTGTTGGACACGCTGGTGGGTTTTATGGTGGGAACCGGTTTTTTAAAGGTTAAGTTTAAACTGAATTTAAATATAAACTGATTTTAAAGCTTGCTCTACACAACTTTGGCAGTCCCATCTGTTTGGATTCACTCTGTGAGTCATTAGGAAGAACTCAGTGGACTCACCTCCAGTTTGAAGGCAAGGCCGATGAAAGGCTGGGAACCATCACGAGCAGAGTTCAACAGGAACTTGGATCCATCCTCAGAATCCCTTAAAAACAGGGATGGAGAGGGAGGTGAGGTTATGAGGCAACACAGGAGCCTCCTTCTAAGCATCTGCTGGCTCTTTACTGGCTCTAATGTTGGGGTTCACACCTAATTGTTGGACTTCTCTCCCAGGGAACAAGGGACAGGACAAGAGGGAACAGCCTCAAGCTGTGGCAGGGGAGGGTCAGGTTGGACATGAGGAGGAATTTCTTCCTGGAAAGGATGGTCAGGCACTGGAAGGGGCTGAAGGCTTGAAGGGCTGCCATCATTTCTGATGAACTACCTCATAATCATTTTCCACATTTAATGTGTTAATAACACCAGTATAAAGGGTAACCCTCAGATGAAAGGAGCTCTCTTAGTTTTGGGAGTTTGTGCCAAATTCTGGTGCTATTATTTAATAAAAATGGTAAATGATCCTGGATCTTGTTACTGATGTTTCCTGCTATGTATTAAACTGCTTTGAAACTATTCCATAGGATCATGGAATGGTTTGGGTTGGAAAGGACCTTGAAGGCCTCCTAGTCCCATCCCCTGCCATGGGCAGGGACACCTTCCACTCATCCAGGTTGCTCCAAGCCCCGTCCAACCTGGCCTTGGACACTCTTGTTTGCTCCTGGCTGTCCTTACCCCTGGTTCAGAATAGCATAGTTCTCCACCTCAGAGGGATTGGGAAGGTATTCCAGGACAGCATCCAGCAGTGGCTGCACCCCTTTGTTCTTCAAAGCACTTCCCACGAGGACTGGGGTAAAGGACTTCTTCAGCGTCGCTCTCCTGATGGCAAGCTGGAAAACAGCCCTGGTAACTCTCCTCCTGCACCTCCAGGAGCCCGAGATTCCCTGGCTTCCCTGGGCATCTCCACTCCTGGAGCAAGGAGCTGCACCCCTCTGGAGGTACCTTTAACTCAGCAGCCGTGGGAATCTTCTCTTCCAAGAACATCTCCCCGAGCTGATCGTCGGCGTTGGCGACGCACTCGATGAGCTCCCGGCGCTGCTCGGCAGCCTCCGCCCGCAGCTCGGCCGGGACCTCCTCAACACGGAGGGTCTGCCTGCACACACGGGGACAAACCATCACCCACAGGGCATGGACCACGGGGATCCATCACCTTCCATCACTGCCATGACCAGCCCCACCAAGAAGAACTCACTGCTGACATGGATAATGGGAAAAATCCCCTACGAGGATCAGCTTCGGCGCTTTGGCGGGAGAAGGTTCCTTCCCACTCCTGGCAGGAGTTTGAAGGATGCAGGACAACCTGCCCAACAGCCCCACCCGCATCTTATCTTCATCCCAGAAGCCACTTGTGCACTGTCAGGTCCCGTTATGGAGCAAGTCTCCCTGTTTCCCACCACCCAGCTCCTCCTGCAGCCACCCATCCCAGAGCTCACCTGCAGGGCCAGGGGATGGGAATGCCCGAGGCTGAGCTCAGCCCTGGCACAAGCCCCACCCTGATATTCCCAGAGAGCAGGGTTTCACCTCTGCAGGAGGAACTCCTCGTGCAAAGAGCAGCTCCAGCCAAGAAAGGAGCAAGTTCCACAACTCACCCAAGTGCCCCATCAAAATAAATGGCTTTTTCTTCAATAAGATCTATAATTCCTTTAAAGTCTCCCTCCAGCCCAATTGGAATCTGGACAAAAGCTGCATTGTGTTTCAACTTGGACCTGAAAGAGGGAGAAAACAGAAATTAGTTCAAGAAAAGTGTTGTTTTTATGGGTCTCCTCCAGATGGTCTTTAAACAACCTCCCACAAAATCCCTGGATTTCATCCTTTGGGCAGTGCCAAAAATCTGTCAGTGCTGATAAAAACCACCCAGGTGTTTTCCAGGGTGGCTCAGCCCTCTGTATCCCAACAGGAACAGGGAGCAACTCCCCTGGGAAAGAAGGCAGAGGAGACTGGTTTGAGATTGATTATTTGATTAGGGGAGAAGGCTTCATGCATATTAATGAGTTATCTCACAGATCAAAATAGGAGCAAGGAGGATTCCAGGCATCCAAACCACCCCATCACCTCCCTGCTGGAATTCCAGCGGCACATGTGCTGTGCTACCAGGATCTAGGGAAAACCAAAAGGCTGCTTTCCAGGTGGCTCCACATATAATTCCATCAACAAAATAAATATCAAACCCCAGCTCTTGGTCCCTGCAAGTCTTGGCTGACCAAAATATTTGGGGTTTTTGGAAACTTATGGGTCAGATAAAGATCTAACCCCAAGTCAGGCATTCCCCAAACTGCAGGTACAAAGAGAAGCCTCTCCAACATTCTTCCCCTGCCATGGGAGTATTCAGAATTATTTCCCAAGTCATTTTAACTGGTAAATACCTGAGTTGCTGCACGGCCCTGGCTGGGTTGGAGCCCATCCTGTCCAGTTTGTTGATGAAGGTCAGGAAGGGCACGTTGTACCTCTTCATCTGCCTGTTCACAGTGATGGTCTGGCACTGGACTCCTCCAACAGCACAGAGCACCAGGATTGCTCCATCCAGGACTCTCAGAGACCTCTCCACTTCAATGGTGAAGTCCACGTGTCCTGAAGGACAATAAAACTCATTAATCATGACAAATGAGTGCAGAAAGGAGCAACAGCCAACAGAACCAAACCCTCCAGCCACAGAGTCACACCAGCTTGAGTGGCTGATCATGGAACCATGGAATGGTTTGGGTGGGAAGGAGATTAAAGCTCATGCAATCCCACCTCCTGCCATGGGCAGGGACACCTTCCACTAGCCCAGGTTGCTCCAAGCCCCGTCCAACCTGGCCTTGGACACTTCCAGGGATCCAGGGGCAGCCACAGCTTCTCTGGGCAACCTGTGCCAGGGCCTCCCCACCCTCCCAGGGAAGGATTTCTTCCTTCCCGAATTAAATCTCACCTAAATTCCCCCTCTGTCAGTTTGAATCCCTGACACATTGTCCTGTCACAACACAAAGATGCACCATGTCCTCTGTATCCACGAGGAACAGCAACCCCCAGGTGTTCCCAGCTCCCTCACCTGGGGTGTCAATGATGTTGATGTTGGTGTCTCTCCACATGGTGTAAGTGGCCGCAGACTGGATGGTGATGCCCCGCTGTCGCTCCAGCTCCATGGAATCCATCACAGCTCCAACTCCATCCTTACCTTTCACCTTAGGAAAAAAGAAATTAAACAAATGTAGTCCCAGGACTTTACTAAGAACACACGTCCCATCCCTGGAGGTGCCCAAGGAAGGACTGACTGTGGCACTCAGTGCTCTGGGCTGGGGGACAAGGTGGAGATGGGGCATGGGGTGGATTCGATGACCTTGGAGGGCTTTTCCAACCTCAGTGATTCTGGGATTCAATCCCCTTGCTCTCCACTAATTTTTAAGGGGTTATCAGGGGAAGCAGGAGGGTTTCAGGGCTCCCCCTGGAGCAGCCCCACCTCGTGCATCTGCGCGATCCTGCCCGTGTAGAACAGGATTCGCTCCGTCAGCGTCGTCTTCCCGGAGTCGATGTGGGCCGAGATCCCGATGTTGCGGATCCTCTCGTTGGGAAGGACCCCCGAGGAGCAGTGTCTGCAGGAGGTCAGGAGCAGCTGGAGGGCAAGAGGAGGTCGTGAGTTAGTGAGGAGCTGACCCAACACAGCAGCGAGTGACAGGACAAGACGGAAAAGCCTCAGGCTGTGCCAGGGGAGGGTCAGGTTGGACATCAGGAGGGATTTCTCCCTGGAAAGGGTGGTCAGGCACTGGCAGGGGCTGCCCAGGGAGGTTTGGAGTCCCCATCCCTGGAGGTGCCCCAGGAAGGCCTGGCCCTGGCACTCAGTGCTCTGGGCTGGGGACAAGGTGGGCATCGGGCACAGGGTGGGCTCGGAGATCCTGGAGGTCTTTTCCCACCCTAACTGCTCCTGTGACTCGCTGTGCCGATGGATAAACTTCCAAACCGCTTCCCTACGGCCTCTGCTCTGTGTCACACCGGTCACTTAAGGCCGAATGGTCACCCGGGACTGTCCCCAGCCCGGACGCACCGCGCGGCCCCTCCTCGCCATCCCCACATCCCCACCGCGCTGACATTCCCGCTCTCCGGTGTCCCCCATCCCCGTGCCCGATCCCAGGACGGGTCACAAACGCGTGTCCTGCAGCGCCCGGGGGGTTTCGGGCGGGCCCGGCCCCCGGCCCCTTCCCTCCCGCCCCTCGACAGCGGGCCGCCCCCTCCTGAGGGGCCCCTCCGGCGTACCTGGAGGTGCCGGCGGGCGGCCCGGGCCAGCCCGGCTCTCAACAACCCTCAGCATGGCCCCGACGCAGCTCCAGCCGGCCCCAATCCCGGCCCAATCCCGGCTCCAGCCCGCGTCACTCCCCGCCCCTTCCGGGGCCCGGCAGGCGCCGCTCGGGCCGGGACCGCGGCTCCGGGCCGGGTTCTCCGGGACGGCGGACCCGGGGGAACCGGAATGGGGGGCGCTCCTCCCGACCTGATCCCATCGCGGAGAAGCGCCCCGGCGCCGCGCGCGGGCCATTCCCGGTGCCGCACACGGGAGCTCTCGCACAGTGCGCCCTAAACGGGAACGCGGGACCCTAAAACGGGACCGGGACGGAGCCTGGGAGGGAGTGAGGGGACACCATCCACGGGCGGGCAGGTGGAGTTTAGGGATTGTTAGTCATTAGCTACAGCTGGAGTTGTTTCTGATTACTAATTAGAAACAACTGTTAACAATAAGCGGTTACAAACAAGGGCTCTCGGTCCTAGGGGAAGGCGATCCCGCGATGTGCAGGAGGGTGTGTGCGGCACAGGGACCCATCTGGAACACGCTGTGAAACGTTAAATATGTTCTCAATATAAAAAAATTCCCCGCTGTTGGATAAACCAGGAAGTTTTTCATCCCGGGGAAGGCTCCAGGAGCAGCTCTGAAGTTGGGAACGGCTCAGCCCTCTCCATACTCGAGTCCCACTTCCAGCAGTTTCCTTCTCTCAAACTTTTTGTGGAAAATTCACATTTTCCTCTGGAAACTGAGGGGTTTCCATAGAACCCCGGAGTGGTTTGGGGTGGAAGGACCTTCAGGCCCATCCCATTCCACCCCCTGCCATGGCAGGGACTCCTTCCATAGCCCGGCTTTCCCTGGTCGTGTCACACCGGAATATTTCAGAGCCCAAACTAAATAATGCACGAGTCCCTCTGTGGCGGAGAATAAACCAAAGCAACCCCATAAATAATAAATAACTTTATTCAAGAACTGCAGTTTCAGATGGTTCTACAGAGACCAGCTTCTCATGCATTACACTGGGAACAGTCTTGGCATAACAAAGGGATCCATAAGGAATATTCGCCCCTTCCCGCTGTAATTTCCAAACCAAAGGATGTGCTTGTTTTATTATGACATGTCTGTATCATGGTTTTTTTTAACCTCAGACAGAAATCCAACTTGTCAGGTGAATTTTCCGTTGAACACCAGAGTCTCTCCAACATTCCTACTCAAGTTCCAACTTGGAAAACTTTGCTGCTGTTAATTACTGGGAAGTTTGAGTGACATACCTGGAAAACGCCTCCACAGCCTTATATTGTCTATTAAATTAATTGCAAAAGCCATGTTGTCTTCAGTGGAGGGAAAAGGAGCCCCTGGATTGTGCTCTAAGGGGTGTCAAAGCATCCCCTGACCCCCCCTTGCCTTCACTGCTCATTAAATGGTTGAATAACCCCAATTAATGCCACTAATAATTGATCACATGAACTTATTGCCACTAATATTTGCTCTAAGAACAGGAAGAGACCACTGCAAGAAACAACAAGTAATTGTCCTTCCCTTTGTCAGAGCTCAACAAAAGTGCTGGTGATTATTTTTCAACATTATTAAAAACATTATTTCATTAAACTTAAATAATCTGGGGAAACTGCAGGAAGATTAAATATGATTTAAAGGCTTTCTGGCCAAACAAATATTACTCTTAACTTACAAATGCTATTTTATCATATAAACAGTGCTTTTTAAGGCTACACTTAATATAGTCTTGAATTTATGTAATGTTATTTAATTTACAGAAATTCTTTATGCTACAACATGTGGATAATTCTGTGTGACAAAACAGCACGTGGACACCTGGAATACAGGGATTTTCCTGGCTTTTCTAGAACATCAGACTCAAACAACATCATCCAGGGACATCAAATGGAGATTTGGGATCATCACAAAGAACAAACTCAGCTGAGGGGAGATGGTTTCCTGTCTCCAGGGCTCTCCTGGCTCCTCAGAACAGGAGAAATGGTGACATCATTCCAGTTAAACTCATTTCTCCCACATGTTTTTCCCATTAATAAGTGCCAGCTGAGTCTCTTAGGACACATGAGGTGATTAAAAGCTACTACAGACAATCCTCAACAGCGATGGGCCAACTCCAAACTAAACACACAGAGCATCAGAGGTACAAAATGGACACTTCAGGAGCAGAAAATGAGGTGCAAGCCCAGCTTATGAACTTAAAAACGATAAAGTATTGCCATTTTAGTATTTTGCTTTTCTTCATGTTAAAACAAGGTGAATGGGGGGGTTCTGTAAGAATTTCCAGTGTGAATTTAAAGAGAGAGATATATATAGTGGCTCTAAGGTATTCCAATTCCTATTAAGCACCACCTAAAAATCATTTCAGCCACACAAACTGAAGAGAATTTATTTTCTGTGCAACTTATAGAGTGGGGAAAAGTAGCTGCACTGCCAGGCTTGATAAAGTCTGAGACTGGTGCAGTTGTAGCAGAAAAACTTTGCAAATCAATGCTTTTTTTAACAGAATTGGTGATAATCCATAAAGTGCTTTCAGGCAGAAAGTTGTTGGGTTTTTTAGTTCACTGAAAGGAGAGGGTTTAACTGAGGAGCTGAAGGTTGAGGAACATCCAGGAGGAGCAAAGGCACGACACAAACAGAGATTGGTCACATATCCTGTGTATTTGTATGGACATGAGCACCATTATCTGCTGGGAGAAACTCCATCCCGGGGGAATGGGGCCACTTATTTCCTGTTGCTTTTGTTGAGGGGGACGTGTGTTCCTTTCACACTGAGAGACTCCAAGGAATCTTTGGGCACTCTGGAACCTCCAGTTCCAAGCAGCTTCTCTCTGGAAAAAAACAACAACAACAATCACAATCACCATGGGAAAAGGAGGGATAAAACCTGCTGTTCCTCCTCAGGGTGACAAGAATTGGCTGTTCATGAACACATCTGCTCCAGAATTGGATTTTCCTTGAGCTGCTGGAATTTCCTTATTCAGGAAATTATTCCTACCTTTTATAGGTATATGTTATATATATTATTATTATATATATTATATATTCCTGTCTTATATAGGTAGGAAACTGTTTTTACCTTTTTGATCCATTCTCCTTATAATTGATACTTCTGGATTTTGGAGTTTCTAAAGAGCTTCTAGTTCTGGATGGTCTGAACTTCATGACCTCCTTCTGCCACTCCTCATCAAAGCTCTGGGCCTCATCTGGAACACAGATAAATTTATATTTTATTTTTAATAAAGACAAGAAAATAAGCATAACGAATATCAGTGAGTTTGAGTCGTGATTTTTTATTTTGTAGTCCATGATTCTCCACATGGTCTGCAGCTATTTTTTGGGGAAAGAGGATTTGATGTGCAGACTTTCAGTCTGTTTAAAGTCCCTTTTAAGATGCCTCAAGCTGGAACTCCCACACTGGTGTGTGAAACAGTGTAAAGCCCATTAGAGAACTGCCTAAAAAGACCTACTTTCATCCAGGTTGATGAATTCTTGGTTCATCTCCTCATCTCCAGTCTTGCAGTTCTTGGATTTTTTGATGACATGAGCCCGATCCTGGATGTGATGGCCAATGGCCATTTGTTCCAGGCCACTTTCAGAATCCTTAAGTGCTTTTCTTGTCTCCTTAACCTGTACAAAAAAAAAAAAGGGGGGGAAAATCAGTATCTTTCCAACCAAAACAGAAGTTAAACCAGTTCACAGAATCCCAGAGTGGTTTGGGTTGAAGGGACCTTAAAGCCCACCCTGCCATGGGCAGGGACACCTTCCACTAGCCCAGATTGCTCCAACCTGGCCTTGGACACTTCCAGGGATGGGGCAGCCACAGCTTCTCTGGGCAACCTGTGCCAGGGCCTCACCACCCTCCCAGCAAAGAATTCCTTCCCAATATTCCATCTAACCCTGCCCTCTGGAAGCCATTCCCTGTGTCCTGTCACTCCAGACCCTTGTGAAGTTATTTCCTCCCCCAAATGTTTTATATCTTTCCTTGATAAAAGTCAGGTTTCACAGGCTTTTCCAATTATCCCATTTACTGTGTTGGCTGAAAATACACCAACAAAACACAAATCAAGTCTATTTTCTTTTTGCCAACGGACAGGAAGATTAACCTTAACTGGACATTAATTACTGGGGAGGGGGGGGAAAACCCCAGTATAAATTTACTACACAGCCAAGTCTTCAACATTCTCCTTGACAACAGAACGAGCAACACCCAATGGCAAAATTCCCAGTGTGAGGAACAACTAATTATTAGGTTGTGGTGTTGACTGGCCTGAAACCCAGGCAACCACTTATCCTGCTGTCCATGGGGTATTATTAGACCCAC